TCTTCCCAGGTAGTTCCCATGGGAGTGCTAGGAGCAATGATTACTTCAAGGCACTAACACCAGCTAGGGCTTCACACTGCACAAAAGGGTCTTCTTCCTGAGCTTTCTCATGGAGTTACTTTTGGGCCTTTTGCACCAGAATGAGTTGTCATTGTGGTTTGTACACCGCCTTGACAGAAAGGATGGCAGCATTTACAGGATGCAGCAGTGAATATAAATGTTCTGACAGCTTCCTACCATCAGAAGATCTTCACGCTCCCCACTGCTGCATTTTGGCTCTCCCCCATTATGCACGATTTCCAGTTTAATCAAAAGCATTCAAAAGGTGTATTCGGAAGTCATGGACTCTATTAAAAAGAGGACTTGATGGTGAAGCATATTATCAAATATTGATTCCCAGAACAATCTTTGACATAGTTGATGATTCTCTGCATCTCTCTTCTTTTCTTCCTGCTTTCCTGAATCCAGCAGAGGACCAGAGCCAGCAAGAAGAGGGAGTGTGGAAGAAAGCACTTGAAGAGGACTGAACATTTGCACTGGTGCTGTGAGCTGTTTTGGTAGTGAAAGGTCAGTGTCAAGACTGTTGACCCATATTGGCTGTTGGTTTGGGGTGGATAATGGCACTCGGTAGTTGTGTAAATTGGAGCTCTTCACCTGCAAGCTTTGGAGTTCCTCTCCTGGGAAGGTTTTACTTAATGAGTTCTGGCTGCTTTCTGGGCTGTGTGAGATGTGCTGGCAAGCAGCTGGAGGCCTCTTGTTAGGATGTTCAGTGGGGTAAAGCGGCAGTGGTATTATTTTCATCTGACAGGGAACTTAGAGAGGTTGTGCTTTCAAAGGTTGGAGTTTAGCGTTGCTGGAGAATGAGGTCTTCAGTCAGTTTGAAGGTTATTGACCCACACCTGCATTGCACGTACCATGGGGAGGACATCTGCTTTGTTTGCTAAGAGCTGCCTCAAGGGCCAGGGTTATCGGGCTCAGATAGGCTCCAGGATAGCCGAACCTTGCCCTCCATGCCAGCAGCATGCCTGCTGGGTGCATGAGGTGGCTGTATTGGTAGGGGGCTGACAATGTTGGACCTAGCGGCCCTTTGGGAGCTCCACTTTCATAGCAGCATAGGCACAGCAGGATTTCCTGCAGCAAGTCTTGTGTGTGTTGGCAAAGATGTTGGGAGTTATCTAACTTCTGGCATACAAGTTATCTTTGAAATAAATGTCACTGATGCGTTGGATGCCAATTTTTTTGCTATCATTAAAAAATCAGTACTTAAAAATAATGATGCTTTTAGTGGTCTGGGAGCTATTTCATTTGATTTGGCATTGCTTCTTCCCCACCCTTCAGATGCTGCTTTAGGGCAGGCTGTGCAGAAAAAGCCTGCAAGCCTGGCTTTCTTTGCTGTTTAATTAAGTACTGTTACTGTGCAAGTTGAGGCAAATGTACCAAGCAACGTCTGTGATGACTAAATGAATGTCTAGCCAGCAGGAGTGTCTGTGTGTGTGTGCATGCCACGTGTTTTCTGAGCTGAGATGTGGGTGTGTGCCTGTGTGTGCCTTTGGGCCTGCAAATAAAAATACAGTGGTCTGATGTGGGGTACCAGAGCAAGTCCTACCATTGAGATTTTAGGTGGCTCAGCACAACAAAACAACTGTTCATGCAGTGCTTGTCTTCCCAGGTGTTCAGCACCAAAACTGGAGCCAAACTGCTCAACTTCTGGTGCGTTCCTGTTGTCCAGTTTGTCCTAAGGGTTCAGTATCAGTAAGATACAGAGTGCCCAAGAAAATCAGGCCATGGAATGCTGTCACTTTTGAAGTGACCCCTGCCTTGCCTGGCAGTCACACACTGTGTGTTCTTACCCAGCTGGAAGGTTGCGGCTTGCAGTCAGACAGGGCAGGATAAGCTCACTTTTTTTTTTTTTTGGCGGTGTTTGTATAGGCGTCTCCTGCCCTCACTTGACCAGCATGGCTCCCTAAAGCCTGACCCAGTCTTTGCAGGTGATGGGAGGTGGCAGGCCACCCTGTGTGAGACAAGGAGCACAAACACATGACTTCCAAAAAGAGTGTCTGGAGAGAGCCTTTCCCTGAATAGCTTGCTGGGTGAGTCATTAAGCATGCGAAGGCAGTCAGTGCCATCAGCTCTGCTGCTGGCTGGGAAGGATAGATCAAGCAGGAGACAGCCCTGATTGCTTTCTGATTCATGGCCTGCCATCTCTGCATGAATCACTGTGCTTTATAAACCTGCAGCTGTTCCCTGCCAGCTTTCTCGAAACAGACAGATCCTCTCCTCCCAGCGGCAAAGCTAGGCTGCCTGAAAGGTATGTACGTGGCGCTCTGTGGAGCAGGACCTGCAGTCTTGAGGGGAATTTCAGGCTGACTGTCATCTGAGTGCAAGTACGGTCTCAGCTGTGTGTCTGCCCAGTCCTCACCCAGAACAAGATGCAGCTTGGCCTGGGATTCATGAGCTCTCAGATCAGGAGGAGGGACAAGTTAGCATTGCTCGCTAGAGCCCAGTACCTGCTGTATGGTGGTACGTGGAAATACCTGTAGCGGCATATTTTTGGTGGGGGACATACTTTGAGGGGAAGGGTGAAAGGCTCCTGAAATCCTCTGGAGCAAGAGGGGAACAGGGCCAAGGAGCTGGGCCAAGGAGCCAGCCCAAGGACCGGCTTGTTATTGTCCCTTGGCTATCAGTGATACGAGCCAGGGTCAGTCTCAGCAAACCTGCAGTGCGTTTTCCTGTACGTATGGCCCTGACATTAGCAGGGGTGGGCAAAAAGCCAAGCACAGCCCTTCAAGTATGTTACTGGAGGGCATCTCTTGGGTCTGGGCCGAGGTACCTGTTTTGGGTTGTGCAGGCGTGTGTGGCTGTGGGAGCCTGCCTCACTGATGCTGTTCCTGTTCTGTGGCTAAATGAAGCCTCTGGGAGCCGTAAATCTGTCACCTTCCATGAACGTTGCGTTCACGGGGCGTCTTCTCATTGCGAGTTTACAAGTCTGTTCAGCGCGTACGATGCCACCAGCATCCATTCCTCCTCACAGCCCCGGGCCATTTTGTGCTGCAACATGGTAATTAATCTGAGCATTGCTGGAGGTTCTGATCTCTTCTGAAGATAACTGTTCAGAGTTATTCTCCTTGATATATGTCACCATCTCAGAGCTTCTCCCTTTGCCAGTGAAACAGCTTTCTGCTGCCAACTGTTGTGGCCAGATGTTATTCTAGAGAAAAATGTTTTCTTGTGAAACGATGATGGTGGACAAGCATGGGTGGGACTGCTGGCACGTTCTCACCTTTGCCTTCCCTGTTAGCTTAATTTATTAGTTTCTAAAGCACAGGCCTGGCTGAGGTTTTTAAGTGGGCTAGTGCGAAGCAAAAGGAAATAGTTCCCTGCAAATAAAATGCAGTTATGCTGCAGAATAGGCAGCTGCTGTTCCCAGCCTTGGTTCATCCAGCTCTAAAGCCAGATGTTAGCAATGTAGCAGCAAAGATAATACTGACTGATTGACCCAACCTGATAGCCGCTTGATGTTCAGCCTGGCTGTGTGTACCCCTTGCTCGCTTTCTTTACTGTCAGGTGTTTTGCAGCGGGTTTGCCAAGGTAGATGAGCGTCTGTACTGCGTGGCTGGGTTGTGGCTCCAGTGGGTCCCCAGAGGAAGCTCACATCACTTGTGGGAAGAATTTTTGTAATTTAAGCAAGCATGAACTCTGTGCCCCTGGAAAAAGGGAGAGGCTGTTTGCCTGCCTGCTTTCAGGGAGATTGCTGCTTTAGGAAAGCATTTTGCTCTGATATGAGTACAAGATGTTTGCATCATTCCCTGCTGGCTGGTAGGGGAGAAAGGGGATTATTTATTAATTGAATGCAGGAGAGGTGGCGTGAATTTGGTTGCAAACTGCCTCATACAGATGGTGCTGACAGTGATGCTCTGGGCAGTGCCTTTCTACTGTCTACCTGGTCAGGGAGAGGTGAGAATATTTTTTTTAAGAGGTTCAGACATTCTGGCATTGACAGGAGGCAGTGAAGTGACATGGTGCTGCACTTGCTGCAGACCTGCTTCTGAGGAACCTGCTCAAGAGTGTAGCAGATCTGTTACAGTGCACTGGGGCTGACCTACAATGAACTCTCATTCGTTATGTATCTGCAGTAGTGTTTTACGCTCTCAGATCATCTGAAGCCAATGGCTATTTTCTTCCTCTTAGCTGGAACAGCTGCCCTAGGAGGCAGCTGGCCAGTGAGAAGGGCCATGAGAAATAAGCAGAGTGAAGAAGAGTATTAATTACTTCAACATATTGCTGGGGTTCGATAGGGCATTTGAGTGGATAACAAGTTCGTTCCCAGTTACAGTTGTAAAGACTAAAAATACCCTAAACTTAGAGGGGGATTTATTTAAGGCAGTTGTAACTAATGTCAGTGAGGAAAGAATATTCTTTGGAGACAGATTATTCCATAAATGTCAAAGACAGAGGTTTCTGTCACCACCTTCAGAAGCAGGAGTTACAGGCTGCAGTCAGGAGCCAGATTCTGGGATTTTCTGGATAACAGGTCTGAGATTTCGTTTGTTTCAGTTCAGATACAAAGAAGTGAGCATGAACTGTACTGACATTTCTTCACTGTAACATTGATCACAATTCATGGTTTTGGCTTGACCACTCACACAATGGTAAGATCAACACTGCAAGTATTGATCTAAAGGAAAATGAGTCTCCAGAAGTGATAGCAGGATGGGGAGAGAGAGCGAGGAGGAAGGCCGCATACTGTTACCATCTGCCTCCCTTTCACGCTGTGCACAGTCTTGTGCTGTGTAGGTCACCCAAATGGATACAAGAGCCCATTATCCAAGCAAGCACTGTCTATCATCCCTGAAGTCACTCGAGTTGCTTGCTCACTGGCTTACTTCAGCAAAAGGTTGGAAAGTGTGAGTTCTTGCAGGAGGAGAGCAGTAATCCTGACCATTTGGGAGAAGGGGTGTGATGACTGACTCAAGCTTTTCTGATTTTTTTTTTTTTTTTCAGGAACTTGCTGAGCCAGAAATATGCGTGAGTATACAGAAAAGAAGGAAACATGTGGGACCATCTGTCTCAAGTACCTGCTCTTCATCTTCAACTTTTTTTTCTGGGTAAGAAGCTTCAGTCTATTTCAGAGGCACTGAGATGGCACTGCAGTTTTAGTGTCAGGGGCACAGAAGCCTTGGTCTTGGTGAAGTCTTTGGCAAAAAGCACTGACATCAGTAGGATGCAGATTTCATCCTGTGGGATTGCCCGCCCAGGCTGCAGAAGTTATGGTTTGACGCTGTAGTCTCTGTCTGTTTCTGGGTCATGTTACTGAGTATAGAAAATAACACGCTGTCGCTCTGCTTTGTTTTTTTTCACCTGGCTTCCTTTTTCAGGGAGCCTGAGGACTCCGCTGTTTTGCCATTCCTCCTCTCAAAGTGGCAGAGGGAGTCATGGCAGTGGAGTAGGACAGCTAGAGCAAGGATAACAAACTTCTTGCAGCTGGGTCCACAGTAGAGCTTCCTAGAGCCATGCTTTCCACCAGAAAATTACTGATGTCAAAGGATTGTTGTTTTCTTTGTTGCTTGGGACAGAGCATTGAAGTGTCCAGGTCAGACCTTTAAGGAAAGCTTAACTGTCTGAGCTTAACTAGAAGCTGCTTAAACCCCTCCAGAAACACAAGGCTTGCAAAGAGAGAAAGGACTGCTAGGAGTCTGGTTGGCTTCTCCGTGTTCATTTGCTGCAAGGGTTAGAGTTTAATAAGCTAGTCTGTTTAGCTCCTTGACTGTTTTCTCCCCAGATGTATAGTCTAGGAAGGAGATACTGAGCATGGTTGTCATTTATTGGTAGTCTTGCTCCCTCATGTAAAGTTGTTTTCTTCCCCTCTGCTGCTAGGTAGCACCCCAATAGATTTGATGTTTTTTTGTATTTGCCCAGATAACAGTGTGGCTACATTTGGGAAGGCTCTGGTCCAAGTATGAATTGCTGTGCACAGGTAGATGCTCCGGATAGCTTGCATCTCAGTCTGTATGGCACACAAAACTGGGGCCACCTTGAAACCCAGCTCTTCCCAGTGTAGATCATCTTTGGCTCAGTTTACGGAGCTGAGGCCCATCTTGGTATCCCGGTCCAGTTGCTCTGGGAGGTGATGAAGTTCGCACATCAGATGCCTCTCATTTGCTAGCTTCTTTTTCTACCCAGCTGGCTGGCGGGGCCGTCATGGCAGTGGGCACCTGGACCCTAGCTGAGAAGAGTGACTACATCAGCCTGCTGTCCTCCAGCACATATTCAGCAACTGCTTATATTCTGGTGGTGGCCGGGGTGGTTGTCATGGTTACTGGCATCCTTGGTTGCTGTGCCACATTCAAAGAGCGTAGGAAT